AGACCTGCTGGGAAGATTTCATCTAAGCTGTCTGATGAGGAAGGCCAGATCACAAAAATGGCTAACCAGAATTAGAAATCCTTTAGCAGGTGAAACAATTTACATATCTGTTTTTATCTGGTTGACTGAAGTTTGGCTTTAAAGCAAAACAAAGATGAAGACAGAAGAGTGTTCTGCTTCACTACATTATAAACGGAATTCTGTTCAGCATCCTCTGCCAAACACACATCCATGCTCTGACCTTGCCTTGTGATCTAATCTGGGCTTCTTGGTGGTACCTGCCGCTGGCAAGCACTTTATCACCTAATCTTTTGGGAAGCCCAAGGAGCAGCCGACATGTTATCAATGAATTATATATAAATGTGTCAAACAAAATCACATGGAACTTTTGGCCAACATAGAAAAATAGACACGGCACCGGCCAGAGGAATAGGAAAATATATTGGGCTTAAATGCATGCTTATGATCTCATCATCAAAGTCTTTTCTGGTTTTGTAATCTAGTGAGGGAATAATTAAAGCTCATCTTAAAGCTGAACTCCGGGCACAAAAACTCATTTAAATATATTCCTTTATAGCCACAAGGATATAAATCCACATTGTGTGCACCAAACACCTTTGCAAACCCAAATATTACCTTGTAAATCTAGTGATAGCATCACTGTGCTTCATACAGCCTTTGCAGAGAGAAGATCTGTGGAAAGGGGGCCTAGTGGGTCTACCCACTACTGGAGGGGGCAGAGACAAGACCAGTCACCCTGCACAAGGAGAGAGAGAGCAGTGACTGGTCTTTATTGCAGGAAGCTCCTGCACAGAGAAAAAGTTTCACGCTGGAGTACTGCACAGATATGGAAGAAATACACAAATTATCTACAATGTCATTTAATAAATATCTTAAAGTTGGGCATATCGTTCTGCTTGGTCACTAGAAACAATATTGTAAATAAATAATTAGAAAAAATTGTTCTGGTCATAATGGTAAAGATATTGGCAACTATGAAGCAGGGGTGAGTGGAGTGATTTTGCTCAAAATCGATTTCTCCACAGAACTATGGATCTCGTCATCAGTGATATTTTGCTGATACCCAGCTCTCAATTTTGCTCATGGAGCTGCTTAGGCAAAATTTGCTGGGGGGGGGGGGGGGGGGGGGGATCAG